ACATGAAGTTCTTAACCTGTCCTACTGTTGCTTCATTTAACTACAGCGCGCAGTAGACAGATGAACAATAAGGCAGAGATACTTCGGTTTGAGACAAATTCACACGCACGCATGTGAAGCACTCGGCTGCGAAGTTTTTAATGGAGCGTTAGAGATCAGTGTCAGAAGATACCAACAAAACGAGGTGGTCTGCAGGCAGCGAGCTTCTCGTCTACTTCCAGCTGATGCACTCGTCACCCTGGCTGTGCGTGACTATTCTATCCAAGTGCGACATTAACAGGAGAAGGGACATGTCGCAGCTTTGGCTGAGACCAGTGCCAACGCTGAAAGTAAAACCACCGGCTTAACGCCAGTTACTCTGACGTACTACCTGGTATCAACACACAGTGACTGAATGGTTCGTAGCAAGGTTCGTAGCAACTGGCCATCGATCCCATATGTTTACAGGCACCTTCATATGTTGTTGCGCTGAAGCAGGGCATGTGCTTTTTCCAGGTCCACAACGGACATATAAACCGGATGAGCGAACTTCAGAGATTTCTTAACAGTCCGGTGTATGTCGAAGATCTCGTCAGAGGTTGTTCGGCCTGTCCTGAAGCCCATACTGTTTGCTTCTTAGAATCAATTAATCCGCCTCACTCTTTTAACACCTTTGCTTAGACTTTTCCAGGAAGGCTCCATAACATAATTTCCCGACAATTTAGGCACTCCCCATGGTCACCCCTTGAATACGGGTACTACAATATGCACTTTGCAGTCCACTGGTTTCCTCCTCATGAGCGTTGCAGTTTGACAGACAGATGTTTACCACAATATGCCTTTTACGCCTGATGCTGTAAGCCTTTCATTTCGGATTTCAGATATTCGAGCAGTCCTGCCACTTTTCAAGCTTTTTATAGCTTCTATGACTGAAACACATGGCCGTTGCCTGCTGGTCTTCAGGCGAATTTTTCTGCTGTTGCTCGGGGTTGAGGAGTTCCTTAATGTACTCTCTCCATCGCCGAGGCCTGTCCTCCTCTTTGCTGAGAGGGCATTCAGACTTGTCCTGTAGATCTCTTAGACTGCTCTTATGTCCATCTCAGAAGTGGCGAGTAGTGTACCAGAATACTTTGTTTGCCGTCTGGAAATTCAACTCGCTTCACCGCACTTTTCCAATGAATCAACTTTCGTTTTGGCCTTTGCTTTCGCTGATGCCTTGCACTCTATTTAATACCGCATTTGAGTTGAAGGATATCTGCTTCCAAACGATGTCTTTAATGCAGCCTTCCTCTGTGTGACAGTCAGTTTGTATTCACCAGGAAATTCGTTTCTTATCCTAAGACCGGATGCCGACTCGTTTTAGACTGCAGCATTCAGCGTAGCTTCGAGTTAGCCATTCTTAAGAAGCGTCCATTCGCTTTCTACATCAGTTGTCCTCACAGGGACCAGTTCAATCCGTTGCGTGGTTTTTTTGCTAGTTTTATCATCGTACCTGCGGAAGATAATGTTTCCTATGTTATGTTCCTGTTACTTCGCCCAGGGTGATGATCGGTTTGTCAGCTTTGCATTTCGCTTGGCGCGAACATCCATTGCAGAATGTCGTAGATCGACGACAATTAGCATATCGACTTCTCTGCATTGATCATTCGCTTGTACCTATACTAATGCACTTTCGATGCTCGAAGTTAACAACAGACAGTCAGTTGTACTCACAAAACTGCAACAACTTTATACCGTTACTGTTGAGGTCGATTGGGCCGTTCTTTCCAATCGTGCCTTTCCACTTTTCAATATCTGCTCCGACATGCGCACGGAGATCACCGGTAGAATGATGAATTCTGTAGTCGGTTGCCAAGTTCCGCGAACTGCCTACAATCAGAACTCGTGCTGATTCTCCAAATTGGCGCATGCACCTGTTATAAGCTTTGGCCTGTTGTGGCTTCAGTCAGATTATTGCGACTCTTCCGCTGATAGGCTTCTCTTCAGTGACACTGTTTGCCAGGTTAGCTTTTACTAGAACACCATCACCGGTCTGGTCGCGCGTCATCATATCGACACCTGA